GGAAAGAGGAGCCTTTCTCAGCAAGAATTGAGCCCATGCTTACAAATGCACTGAGTTCATCCTCATCTGGGTCACCTCTGTTACCTTCTTTCAGCAACCAAGATATTCCAGGCCAAAATGTAAAACCTGCATTTCAGTTCTGTTTTTTTAACAAACTCATTATTGTCCTTATTACTTACCAGGCTCATAGAGCTCCGAATGTCCTCCACGTATTTGTTAGAGTAGATCCACATACTATTTTATCAATCACTATATTCTATTTGTCATTTATTTCCAAAAATTTACCTAAAAGTATTCCAAAACTGACATTTTCTTTTCCATAACACCCCCAATTAAACCAACAGATTTCAGTAAAATGCACTTCTGTACACACACACGTATTCACATACATACAAACTGGTGCCCAATTTTGATCCCTTTCAACCTTCTAATGATTCAATTATCTGAAGAATTCTTTCATTTGTAATTAAACTTATTCCTTCTTCAAAATTTTTAGAATGTTAGAAGAGATCAAACAGAAATATAGTGGACTTCAACTACAGAATGAAGATGTATATATGGCCACTAAGTTTGCAGACTTCATTCAACTGGCTGTCCGAAAATTCAGAGGAGAAGACAAAGAAGAAGAGTTAGCCATTGATTATGTAAGACCTTTTATTTTGCCTTTATTGCTTAATCTTTCTTGGGTTTTGGGGGGAAAGTAGACAACGTATGTTATGAGACTGCTTGATACAGTAGGAAAAGCAAAAAATATTTGATCATACAAACTCTTCTTTGTGACTTTTTTTTTGGAACTTTTATATATTTGCATTTTGTAATGGAAGTATATATATAATGTCACTTACATTGTTCCAGAAACCAGGAGATCAAGAACACGTAATAGAGTAGCTGACACATGGGCAGATCTTCCTAACTCCCCTGCACTGTCCAGCAGTGTGCTTCAGTCAGAATGGTTCTAGACCTTCTACTTCCCTGAGGCAAACAGGATGTGTTAGGTTTTTCTCCTAAGAATGTGTTTAAAAAAATTGTGTGAAAGGAGGATTCTGTGGGTTTTTTAAAGTCATTAAGCAAGTCAGGATTTCTTGAATTTGGGAATTATACATTTGACTGAAGTCCACTAAGGCCAGACTTAACCACGGTTTAGCATGGGTTTGAACATGGAGATCCAATGATAAAACATACAGAAATCAGCTTAACTATCTCAAAGTATGGTCATTGACATTCAGGAAGAATATGATCTCCATTTCCTTTTACCCCTTTGTCCACTCCTAACAGCCATATGTACATCCTAAAATGCATCTGGATATTGGCTGCAGATATCAAAAGCTTCTTAAGCTACATTAAATTTTCAGTTATTAAAAATTTAAGCTAATTTGTGGTTTATTTTACTCTTAGGTTTCAAAAAATGTGAACAACATGACTGTGAATATGCCATACCAATGTTTCATAAATGGGCAATTTATAAATGCTGATGATGGAAAAACATATGACACTATAAATCCAGCAGATGGATCAGTGAGTAATTTCTAAATATGATCAATACCAGTTTATTTCAGTTTCTTTGCCTCTTAAAAAATCTAAAACACTAACTGAATATTGTTAATTTCATGACCATACAGTACACATTAAACAACCCCTAGAAATCATTTGAATTTTGAATTTATTTCTCAGTTTGTATGTTCTATAGTTTTTCCATTTCAGTCAAGCTGCACAGCAAACATAACCTACTTCCACTTCAGCTATTACATCAATTTCCATACCCAGCTGTATGTTTTACCTTGATTTCATTCTTGCTTAGCTTTGCAAATAAAAATGGCTGCAGTTTAGTTGCTAAAGAAGTATTTCTTTTAGGATATTGTCAGTCGTCAACTTCAGTATTTATTTTACTTTTTTTACAAATCTGATGTCTTCGTGCAAATGTGACTTTAAAGAGTCCCTTTAAATTCCCAGTAAGAAAAATGACTTTTCAATAGGAAAATACATACAGTTGCACTTCAGTCCTGAACTACTGAATCTTGGTTGAACAACTCGTAACTATGAATTATAAAGAAGTGATCCTGATGTCCATGTAATTGCCATTTAATTCTGGAGTAAATAAATTCTGCTGAAATCAGTGCCACAAATTCCACTATCATCAGAAGTCAAACTGTGGTACTTTTCCTGAAACTCATTACAGAATGGAATAAACGTCATAGCAATTCTGTATTAGGATTTACAATGTGTGTATTTATAGAACACAATCACCATAAAATACTGTGTGTATATGGTGGTGTATGGTAACAGAAGTTCCATTCCTAAGAAATGGAACATGCGGGAGTCATTTGAGCATGTTTAGATATTAGATCATAATACCACACATAAAGACTTTCAACTTTTGTAATATCACATTGATTTTACGTATGGAAAGAGAGGGTGGGACAATGCACCTTGCTGTGAAGAAGAAAGATCTAGGCATCTGAGTCCCTGCAGCGTCCACCAAGTTCTGCAGCCTGACTCACCCATGACAACTGCTGGGACCGAGGGTCTTCAGAATTTGCTTATACCCAGTCAAGCAGTTTAGGAGGAAAGAGTAACACTGCATCCCAGCCTCCCAGTGTGAGCTAACACGATGTTACCTTTGGACAGATAATAGCCAGTGTATCTTCTGCTTCATTGGCCGATGTTGACAAGGCAGTGGCAGCAGCGAAGGAGGCATTTGAAAATGGTGAATGGGGAAGAATGAATGCACGGGAAAGAGGACGACTCATGTACAGGTACGTAAAGGGCAGCTTGTGTTTGTTTCATTTTCTTAAATCTTGTCGTTTTGTTCCTCTGAAGAATTGTTTCATACATTTTCTGAATATGATGGATATCCATAATCCCACTGTCAGAGGAACCAAACTAGCCATCTTTTCGCCCTCTAATTTACTTCAGTGTACCAGCCTCAGGTCTTAGCTGGCTAACCTTTCTTGTGGCAGAGAAGAGCCTTGTGATCTCTCACTGCACCTTTTTTTTAATTGTTATTTATGAATGGAAACAAAGAATTTGACAAAAACATTGTTTAAACACTTGACAACTTTATTTAATCTGTATGTTTTTCGTTGCAAGGTTTGAAAATTACCTTGTAAAGTCCAAATTCTTCTGTATAAATAAGGCTAAGTTTTAAAGGCAGAGTCTACCTATGTTAGGTAGGCAGAGACTTTTGACCTTGTGCATCTGCATCTACACTCCATACAGTAAACATATAGCCACATTGCCACTACTTTTGAAATAGACTGTAAGTGATGTCCCAGGATCATATCCCAGCATACTTCTCACCTGGCTAAAGACCCACTCCAGGAGATGTGTTATTGTCTGTTGTGGAAGAATTGTCCTGTGTAGAAATTCTCTAAGCTGAATTGTATATTTATCTGAGACATTTCCAACTCTCTTTTGTATCTGTTTCACTGTGTCAACCCTAGATAATGCCTGTTCTCATTTTGGCTGTGTTGTTATTTGTTTCAGAAGATAAACAGGTTTTGCTGAATGAATGGTATTTTATTCGTGAGTTTTGATTCTTGGAAGGGCAAGAGGTGATCTTGGAAAGATGATCATGCTATCTAGATATTGCGAGAGCGATACTGGAGGCAGCTAATAATAAAAGCCCAATTACTATGGATTCTCCATACGCAGGATGATGCTTCTGGTGCCTGACAGCAGGCACAGGGACAACACTGTCTTGCAAACTTGAGATGACTAGAAGCTGCAGAGCTTCCCTATAAACAAAGCCTCTTTCATGGAGCTTTCACCGTTTTTCAGTTCTAGGAGATGCAAATTAATAAGAAGAGTAGAGATGAGTAAAGAAGCAGATTGTTACTCCTGAATGCCCCAGGTTCACATCTAGCTAATGTGATGATGAAAAATCAGTTGTCAGCACAGAGGAGATGTACTAGGCAAATTCTGTTCCTATTCAGTAGATGGAAGGCTACTAGTTACCGTGCTTGACATAGCAGTTGGCTTTAAGGACATTAGGATCTTGACTAGACTTGAAACTTCCTGCTCCAAGGAACTCATGGAGGAGTAGATCCTGTACATCAAACAACTTTCTTCTGCAAGGTGTAGTCTGCAGGCCCATCAACATTACTGCTGGATGTCCTGGCCAAGTTGATTATGCTGAGGAGACTGTACATTTATCTATAGAGAAGAGAAGGATTTTTTTTCACCTTCAAAAAATAAAATCTTCAGTAGCGTGCCCATACCTACTGCTATATTAAGCCTTTATTGTGCTATGCCAGGAGCTAGACCTGGACATCAGAATACACAGCAGAAGAAGAATCAGTTACACAGTGGCTGCAAGACGGTAGCAGGCTATGCATTCGGATGGCAAGGCAAAATAACAGTCTCAGTTTGGTTGCGTGCAGCAGTGGGTCACTCTCTCTGCGTAGCATCTGTGAGGAGTTGGAAACTGAGGATCTATCTGATTCAGAGGTTTGGAATATGCAACTAGAAGATGACCCTGTCCTCATAAGGGTTTAACTTAGCAAGACAGGAAGGTGTTGAGAATCCATTGCATGTCTGTGCTCTGGCAGCTAAGGAAGAGGAGCAGGGGGAAATGTGGTGCTGCACTTGGGATAGATAGGTCTGTGTCCTGCTGTGGTGTGTGCAGCAGATCATTTGTTATCACGTTAATATAACTGTAAGACCTTTTACTTTGTTGAATGCTTTGGATGTAAATTTCCCTCCCTTCTTTTACCATATCCTTATGAACTAAGTAGATGTAATTAAAAATAAGTAAGTATGAAAAAATGCCACGTTTTACAAGACATTGCAGGCATCTTGGCAAAAGAGAATGAAAGCAAACCTGAAAATTCTGCTTGTCTCATAAATTATGTAACCAAGCCTTGGAAAAAGGCCTGCAGGACTCTAAAAAAGCTGAGTAGTCATCATAACAGAAAATGGGAGAGTCAGAACTCAAATTAAAATTAAGTACAGTTGATCACTTAAATTTTTCACAAGTGTGCACAGATTCAAAGCATGTACAAACTTGAGTTTAATTTGTGTTAGGAATGTAGAGTGCTTGTGAGTCCAAGTTAACTCTGCACTGAAGAGGAACTTTTAAGGTCTTAGAACTACTACTCTGTGTTTTACACTTGCAAAGATTTGCAAATATAGCTATGTTAGGCATATGGAAACTGTAACTCCCCTACACTGCATAGATTATTCCCAGATTAAACTCTTCTCTGTTTAGGTGACTGGCTCTCTAGGATATCTATACCAGAGTGTTGCAAACCATTCCCAGTATGAATGAAAGCTTTCTCTGGTCCACCTTAATTCAAACAAGGCCCCCTTTTCTCTGGCCTCTGTTCAAACTAGAGATTTTGAGTGCTGAACCAAAGAGAAGGTTTGTACCATTAAAGCCCCTAGCTCTGCTACTCTGACTTAAGGAATCATTAATAGAAGATATTAAGCATGCATTAAATGGACCCTTCTCCTTTGTCCCTGACATGCTATATCTGTTCTTTTACACTCTGCTGACGATGTCCTGACCTGTAGCTGGGTCTCCAAGATACAGTTAAAACAAGTATTAAAGGGCATTTTTCCATATCTCTGCAAATGCTTTAAATGGGCAGAATTTAGACAATGGAAAAATAGGTTTCACACCCACTTTTGAACACTCTTTACGGGAGATCTTTAGATCTTTACAGGATCTAAAATGCACTTGATGAAGCTCTTAAAATCACGTGGGAGCATTGATTATATGTCTGAGTACTAAAACACAGACAGAAGCTTAAGAAAAACTTTGATGCATCTGTTTCACTGCCATGTGAGAGATCTAAGACTGAAAGTAACCATTCATTCATGCAAACAGACTGCCTGAGCAGGGGGCCACTAAAATTACAAGAGCTCCTTGTAAGTATAGGTATCTGTCTGTGCAGACGCATTATTGAGACACTTGGATCGCTACTATTAACAATAATACTTACCACAGTCTGTCATACACCTCACTGTGTTGCTTTATAAATCTAACAGATGGAGAACTTGAGGCCCAAGGAGACCATGGGCCAGATTTTCAAATATACCAAGGCATATAATATTCAATTTGCATTGCAGCTTACGACCTCTGTCATTGGACATCTGGGTGCCTTTGAAGCATCTAACATTTAAGTATTTTAGTCCAAGTTCAGACAATACAAAACAGCATTATAAAGCTAGATTTTTCAAATCTTAAGCTAGGATCCTGAGTATCCCTCCTTGGTATTTTTGATTACTTGACATTTCTTATGTTATTGTGTATTTGCTTTCTGACTTACTGGCCTGATATTCTATAACTGGCTCCTTGTAGTACAACAGAAAAAGACTACATCTTTTCTAAGTATTATTTTATTTATGAAACCGTAATTGAACAATCAGGTAAGTCTTCACAGTTCATGTCTTCATGCAGTGTCTACTGCAGCCAATGTGAAGACATTTGCAGACTTTAACAGGCAATTGTTCAAGCTCTTACTGATATAAATGAGCTCTGGCTCCAGTGCTCCACCTCCAAATTTGGTGGGAATGCTATTTTAATTACAGTTCTTTGCCATACCAAATATCATTTTAGGCTGTCAGTGGTTAGATGTCACTTCTCTCTGATGTGGATTTGCAATATTTTTATTAAAGACTTGCAGACCTGATGGAAGAACATCAAGAAGAGTTAGCGACAATAGAGTCTATTGACTCAGGAGCTGTCTACACTTTAGCTTTGAAGACCCATGTTGGAATGTCTGTGCAAACATTCAGATACTTCGCTGGATGGTGTGACAAAATTCAGGCAAGTGAACGTGTACACTTTTATTTTTTTCCCTGACATAGTGCCAAAAAGCAGTGTTAGCAAAATAATCAAGGAATCAAAAAATAAAACAAATTTAGAATTTTACCTAAAAAGGGTCTCCCTGGCAATACAAAAGGACAGTCTGCTTCCAGCTGGAGAATATGGATTTAGAATGTGAGTCTAAATGTCTAAGAAATCAGTCAAGGTGTCACAGTGGATATGCATTCTTCGTCAGCTCTTAATTATTCATGGAGCAAAATGTCATTGTGGTCATCGTGCTGGTAAGTGCAGACTCATGCTATGTTATATTCTGACCAAGGCTGGTGATTTTGCTTGATGCCACGGCACGTGGCACGGGTTGAACAGCATTTCCTCAAGTATCTCTAAGATCCACAATCAGGAATATCATTCAGCTTTTTTTCATGCATCAGATCCTCACTTCATGTTCTTTCATACTTTTGCTATCTATGCTTTTATTTTATCCAACTGAAAATCACGAGTTGACTACGGTATCCATAGTTGGAAATCATACAGTACAAGGATCTGTACTCCTTCCTCAGATGCAAAAATGCCTCTGCTTTTGAAGCCTACTCTGTGGCTGTCCTAAACATACTTATATAGCACATATATTTGTAATAAAAATTATTGAACAGTACCAAGATTTGTCCCTCCTCCGTCTTTTAGGGTGCTACAATTCCAATTAATCAGGCCCGGCCAAACCACAATCTAACATTCACTAAGAAAGAGCCAATAGGGTAAGTATCACATTTTTCTTCTTAGTGACAGCCTTGAAATACAGAAAAGCCATTCAAAAGCTGCTGTCAAAAACCTAATCTTTCCCTGTTTTTCCCTACCTTAAGTGTCTGTGCAATTGTTATCCCCTGGAATTACCCACTGATGATGCTTGCATGGAAGAGCGCAGCATGCTTGGCTGCAGGCAACACACTCGTACTCAAGCCAGCTCAGGTAAAAAGAAAAAGGAATGTACAGATGACTCAGGTCCTCCACTATTTGTTCAGGCAAAATAATTCAGGCAATCCAGTGGATTTCACCCATAGGTTGATCTGTCATATGTACCCATAGGTTTGACTGCATCATATGTTTTAAAGTTCAAGTATAATACAAATTGCCATGATGATACAAGGTACTGATTGTCTTCAATTCTGCTCAGATGCTACTCTCATTTTCAAGAAGGAATTCTTTTCCATGGGAAACCATCACTTGTAATTTGTCAATACTGTGAGTGAGAAGATGAATATTGCATCAAAATTAAGATGTATTGAATGTAAAAGATATCATCACACATTTAAATTAAAATAGGAGACCTAATCTAAATGTTTCTACTTAGGTTACACCTCTGACATCCTTGAAGTTTGCAGAACTCTCAGCTAAAGCTGGATTTCCTAAGGGCGTTATAAATATTCTTCCTGGTTCAGGTAAAACTTCAACTAATCATTTTTCTGGGAAGAGTAGGTCATGCTAAAACTGGTGAACTATCATTTTATATTTTTGAAGACCTATTACATAAGTGCATGTGTCTTCATAGGTAGTAGGCTTGCATCTGTGTCATAGAGCGATTTCACATATTTCCAGAACAGAATTGGAAAAATCTTTATGTCATCTGGCTCCAGCTAGTGGTAAAAGCTGTCAGCCTACACTCCTTACAAGTTCACACAAATAGCATGAACACTCTGAAAAAGAATGTATCACAGAGAAACACGTTTCATTTGATCATAAAACTTCATTTTTTCTCCTAATCATATCATCACTTGGAAGTATTTAAATGTGACCGTGAGACCTAGAGCAAGCTGGTAGGATGTGTATTGGTCACTATAGGTAAGTCATGGTCCACACCGTGTTATCTGCTGTCGCCGTTTCCTCTTTCCCCTAAGGAAGGAAAGTGACAAAGTAACTGTTTGGGGCAGTTACAAATTAGGTTATTCCACCTACAGTAGAATATTAGGAAGGAAATACTTTAGTCCAGACAGATGGAGGAACTTAGAGGCACTAAGGTGATCCAAGTTAACTAATACGAGATTTTTCATAGTCATATAAATAAAGCTGTAAATATAAATAAGGATTTATTTGTACTTGACTGACATACTGTTAGCTCTTTCTGTGTTACAGTGCTGCTGCTGGAGTAGTAAAAATTGCCTATGTACTGTCCAGTTAAACTGTTTTCCTCACCCCAATAGGTGGCTTAGTGGGGCAGCACCTGTCTGAACATCCAGATGTTCGCAAAGTTGGATTCACTGGTTCAACACCAACTGGTAAACAGATCATGAAGAGGTACTCACAGCAAAAGAATCATAAATAAACACTGCTTAATCTAGTTCCAAAGTATCTTAGTAGCTATATTTTGCATGTAGCAGTAATAGAAAAGCGTAACTACATATGGTTGCTTACATTTATGTAAAATTCTACTAAGTCACTATTGGAAAATAGAGTTTTATACATTTTCACTAGATATGATTCAAATGAAATTATGAAACAAGCTATTTTAAATGATTATTTATATTTTTTACAGTGCAGCCACTAATCTGAAGAAAGTTTCTCTTGAACTTGGTGGTAAATCACCATTGATCATATTCAGTGACTGTGAACTTGACAGAGCTGTAAAAATGGTAATGTTACTTCGAAGTAAAATGTACTCAAAGCCTTTGTGATACATCCTCACAGTATTGCAATATTCTTCGTGATTTGCCAAAAACTGAAGTAGGGAGCCCTTGCATGAAAAATCATGCAATCTGTTAGAAAACAGACTTTTTCTACAGCATGTTTCTTTATACCAGCACAATTAAACTGTTCATGCTGCACCAAAAAGGCAGAGATCAGTACTACCAGAAATATACATTAGAAAATACAAAAAAACAAAGAACTATAGCTGGGAAGTATTTTCACTAGCCAAGTTAACACATTAAAATTTATTTGTCAAAATCTGATACTCAATAAAAAAGCACTTAAAATACAAAAGCCTGAAAGTGAGTTAAAATATACATTGAGTTCCCTATTGTCGTATAGTTCTTCTTAATTCACCATCAATCACTATAATCCACCTTCCCAACCAGCCATAATATGTTTAAAGTTCATAAATAAGATGTGCAAATGGGAAATTCAGTGGATTTAGGGAGCTTATTTCCTGCTCAGGGAATCTGATTCATCAAAATAACAGCAGATGCAGTTTGCTCACTAAGAAGCAAACAAAGGTCTTCCACACTGTAATTACCCAAAGTGCTAATTCCATGAATTCCCTAACCCAGCATAAGGTGCTGCTACCAGGAGGAAACCATTACACACTTTTCCTATTTTTGGAGTGTCTTTTGGCAGGACAAGAGTCTGAGTGACTACACAGTGAAGTATATGTGGAAAATAATAAAAGCTGAAACTTCACAGTCAGCGCACGGCTTGGCCCCACCGCTATTCTCAGCTACAGAAGTTAGAGGGTGATGCAGAGATTGGCCTGAGCTATACCTGGCATTGATGGCTTTAAATGATGGTGAAACAATGCTTTTTTGCCACACAGTTGGCACTGCCATGTGATCCTGATCATACTTACCAATGCCAGGACCCTAGGCCTTTGCAGCTGCCAGAAAAACACTTTTTAGGAATTTTATTTGTCCTACTCTTCCTTCCCCCACCTCCCTACCCGCCCTGGAAAAACAATGGCAGGTATCAGTTCTTGGTAAATAAAAAGGAACAAACTGTGTGGGGACTGAATCCCCACTCTTCAAATAGGAGGTTCTCTGCAGACTAGTTAGGTGATGTTCACCCCGTTACACGGGGCTATCGACACAAGCAGTATTGCTGACGGGATTAGCACGGTGTTATATTCGCTGGTCGTGCTGCCAGCCACCTCCTCTGTGATGCTGCAGCAGGTGTTTCTGTGGAACACACTGATGGAAATGGAAAGAGCAGTGCTAATGGGTTCATCCTGAGCCATTTGTCTCCATGGAAGTGTGTTTGCCACTTACAAGATTAGTTTTTTCGTTGGCTTGATGATGTCCATTTACATAAAGCGTTAGGCGTTGAGGGTCACAAATACAGAATGCAACCCAAGGGAACAGAGTGAAAGGGAGGCTGAACAAAAGGATGCGTATAAATGTTAATGTTTTTTTCCCTGATCAGGGTATGGGAGCAGTATATTTCAACAAAGGAGAAAACTGCATTGCAGCTGGCAGGCTGTTTGTGGAAGAATCAATCCATGATGAATTTGTTAGAAAAGTGGTAAGATATTTAAGGACTAAAGTTTAAGCATATATTTTACTATGGCACAAAGAGCCACTAGTTTTATAGACACCTGCATTTCTTCTAATTTTCAGTTGTTTAAATCGTCATTATTGCTTGTGATTGATAGGCAATGTTGCTTCTTGGGAACATTTTTACAGGGTTAAAAAGAAGGCACTGAAAGGAGATATTTTCATCAGTTATGCACAGATAAGTGATATTAAGGTAGATACTGTACCTTAAGTAATATTTCATATTTGCCTAGGAAAGTAAGATTAAAAAAATTACTGAACTTAGGTCAATGTGATTGAAGACTGCAGTGAAGTTTAAAAAAGAAAAAAAACAAATTGGAAGTGTAGCTAGAATAATACAAAGGTCATTATTAAAAATCCAATAGTCACCACACTGTACCACTGGAAAATTCATTTATCTAGCTCAAGAACAGGAAATCGCTGTGATGACTCGTTTACTACTGTAAAAGCTAACAATTTACATGCCTATCTTAATAGCAGAAGAGAATGAATACATGAAAACAGCATCAAAAGCTTTCAGAAGTAACCAGAAATTATCAAACATAAGACACCATACAAAGCCTCATTTTAGAAAGGGAAGAGCATTCCACCTTCTAAGAATCCAGCCCTTTCTTAGAGCCAAACTTCATAGTACAAACAATGAAGCATCCCAAATCACTGGTCACTTTAACAACTGTTATGTTACGTAACTTCATTTTAATTGGGTAACCCATAGGTAGAAGAAATAAAAAAGATGAAAATTGGTGACCCACTTGACAGATCTACAGATCACGGTCCACAAAATCACAAGGCACATTTGGAAAAGCTGCTGCAATATTGTGAAACTGGAATAAAAGAAGGAGCCACTCTAGTGTATGGAGGAAGACAAGTACGCAGACCAGGTAAAATACTGCTCAAAGGTGTTTGGAACTTTTACACTTTAAATAAAAGCCATCATGGTTGTCTCTGCTGCATTATGTGAAGTAGCATTATCATGGGAACAGCATGAGGTAAGCCCAAGATACCAGCTGAGAACAGGGCTTTCAAGTCTTACCTTGAGAATGAAATTGAATCAGAATCTAGTCTATATAGGAATATTTTGCTCATTTATTCCTGTTGTTGGTGAGGCCTTTTGTATAATTATATCCATTTAGATCAACAAAACACTAAAGAGGACTGAGGAAACTGCTAGCAGAGTCTGCGTATGATTATTATTGGAAGCCATTTTTCTCTCTAAAGAGTATGTATAGTAAGTTTAATGGGAAGGCATGAAGGTAATATTTTCTCATGCACATCTGCGCTTTATCAATAATGAAGGGGAAACGTTTGCATCAGCGTTTCCAAACATAATGATTGCATCCCCAGTTAAAATTAAAGTGGAGACTTGTAACTATATGAAATAAGTGTAACAAAGCTAAATGGAAAGTGGAGGCAATTGTAGAAAAACTCTGAAGTTGATTTTACCCACTCACACTGAAATACACTCTCCCACCAAGATGTAGGTGACCAGGATCGTTTGTGTGTAACACCAGTTACACAGTTCTTGACTGGCAACGATGAACTAGGTTTTGGACAGGTTTTTACACACTTCAAAAATGAACGGTTGTTATGAAGAGGTCCTTTGCCTCAGAATTTTCTTTACTTCAGCCTCCGCAACTCTTAGGCAAAGTTGCTGCCCGTGGCATGTTTTTCTTTGTTTGGAATACAGATCTTTATGGCTACAGTCTATCTTCTTGTTGGGTAACAGGAAAAACAGCAGCCTCTGGGACATGCTGTAACCTGGTCTTCCTGCTGCCAGAGTGCAGGGTCTTCCCCTGAGGAGTGCCCTGGGCTGCGGCACGCAGACCTTCTGCCCCAGCAGGGAACAGCACGTGTTGTTGCTCTGATCAATACAGGCCATTCTTTTAGCTCTTTTTCTGCTGTTTCTCTGGTGCTTACACACATGCATTTCCGTTCATGCTTCATCCATATCAATCTTAATATTTTCTGCTTCAAGTCACAACATATCTCTGACCTCCAAGTATGGAAGAGAGGCGGCCTGGACAATACAAACCATAGAGCATTTCCACCATGCTTAAATGATGCTCTATCCTCTGTTTAGGTTTCTTCATGGAACCCACTGTATTCACAGATGTTGAAGACCATATGTATATTGCCCAGGAAGAGTCCTTTGGTCCTGTGATGGTGATTTCTAAATTTAAAAATGGGTATGTTCTCTGGTTACTGTTAGAAACTTTATTTTCTCATTTTCTCTTTAAGTGTAGAAATTATAGCATATTTTGTATGACTTCGTTAAATCTTCTAAGACCAGTCTGAATCTCTAGATCCTCTTCCAGCTAAATTTTGAGAAAACACCCTTTTTAGTAACAGGTGTCCTGCTCCATGTCAATATAGAGCTAATGCTATTAGCAGTGTGTGACAGGATAGAATGCAACCCTAAGTGCCAGTTCTTAAATAAGTCTTAATATTCAGTGAAATGTTTTTACTGAAGTTGACATGGTAATTGCAACTGCTTGATCAAATTACACAATGTGTATTTTTTCTATTGGAATCGCTTATTTTTCTCTTTGTCACAAAAGAGCGCACAGCATTGTGTAATGTTGCAAATGAAAATCCCTCTGTATACTTTGTAGACTGGAAATTTTAATAGTTTTCTTTCCAAATCATAGGAATTATCTTACACACAGATGAGATTAAAACCCTATAGAGAAAGTTCATATCACTATTTCCACCAGGTTTCATTTTCTGCAGTTTGATAATGCAGTTAAGAACCAGCCACATAGATAACCCTTCACATCTATAAATTAAGCATGGCGATAAGGGACTGTACTGAGTTTAAGTTTTACATTATTATGGATTTTTGAAGTTATATGGAGATGAAACGCAAATAGAAAATAGCACTCTGGACATGGCCTGAAAATTGTGTCTCAACAGAAGTCTGAGTTTCAGCACTTACTCTCCATTAACTTGTATAGCATGGCCAAAATTTTAGCAAAAACTGATGCATAGTCTCCAGCCAAGCTCTGCTTTTTACAAGCTTTTTTGTGTTGCTCTAATCTCCAAGCTGTACAGTAGCTGAACAAAGTAGGTATGCATAGTGCAACTTTTCCCTTGACATTTCTTAGTGTAGATCTTAACCACTGAAGTGTAAAGTTACAAGCTTTACAAGTTTGAGGCAAGGGTATGAATTTCCATAGATCTATCAGATTGACACACAGATTAGTCCTTAATTAGTTGGCTTTAAAAAAGCTAAGTGGAGAAGAGCAAGCATGGGAAAAGGTGCTTCACTGACACTGAAGGTGGAAGGTTGCTATCACTTGTTTATTTTACCTAGTTGAAACTAATAATTTCTCTCCCCTGTAGGGATGTTGATGGAGTGCTGCAACGGGCAAATGCCACAGAATACGGTTTAGCTTCAGGAGTTTTCACAAAAGACATAAGCAAAGCTCTCTACATCAGTGAAAAGCTAGAAGCTGGAACAGTTTTTATTAACACATATAACAAAACTGATGTGGCAGCACCATTTGGTGGATTTAAACAATCTGGCTTTGGGAAAGATTTAGGTAAGTTGTTCTCTCCCTCCCTCATTTCTCATCTGACAGCCCAAATCAATGAAAAGACATTGATTTTTACAATCAGTACAGTGTATCTAGCAAAACATGAGCTATGGATGCATTTGCTGTATGTCCCTACATTCCTCCAATTACAGTAATCTAGTTACTCTTCCATCCCTACAATATTCCTGCCTCAATACCTCCAGTTCAGTCCTTCTTGTACATTTGCTAGATAATGCTAGGGCTCACAGAATATTCCTCTCCAACTCCCCTCAGAGCAGTCATATTACAGCTTGTCCAGAGCTTGTCCAGCTTGTACAGCCTACAGCAGCAAAGGTATCGGCCAAAATCTTCTTTCCTTTCCCTCAGAAAGGATGCTAATTTAAGTTTCTCCTCTAAACTTGTAAGAGCATGGAAAACTTTTTTATGCCTTAAAAGGCCATCAAAATTTGCCGACAGCCACAGAGCTAGATACATTTAAAAAAAAATTTATTTTCAGAATCAGTTTTTAAAAAAGTGAGGTCTGGTCTGTCAAAGAAACCTTACAAGTCTGGACAGATCAAGCCTCGTGGCAAAGAAAAATGAAAGAAAAAAAATTTTCAGTGATAGAACAGATTTTTGCCTTTGGAATCTCTAGCAAGTATCAGACATTTCCTGAAACCAAAGTGAGTAATAGTATCAGGAAAAAAAGATTACCAATTTTTACACAGCTTCTTTGCCTAGAAACTTGGCATAGGCAAACTGAAGTTCGTAAATTCAATGATGAGCCCCCAGTGGCCAGCTAGAGACTGCCACTGCTTCAGGCGGCTGCTTGTTAAATTCCAGCTCCTCCTTCTTTCCACATCTGTTGGGTTTGGCCATTTCTTGTTAAACCGTTCTGGAAATCCCAGTGGGAGGGTAAGTTAATTAATTTCCATTGTTCCTTAAGGACTCAAACATTGGTTAAAACATTTTGAATTTTTTCTTAATAATACAGTTATGGTCTCTGAAAACATTCTCGTTTATCTGCTATTCTAACTGGTGAATATTGTGCTTGCACAGGTGAAGAAGCTCTTCATGAATATCTTAGAACCAAGGCTATCACTGTGGAATATTAAATTAACAAGCCTCACTTGGAAAGTAAACTTTTGGCAGATTTTGAATCTTAATGACTCCATGAAGCATTTAATACCATGCCCAGGATATGCTGTCTGCAAGTGCTACAACTGGAAAAAAAAACAAACTGAAACACCCATTCCATGGATAAGTTTCTATAAATCAGGTCCAAATTTTAGTCTCACTGAAAGATAAAGGAATTTGGAAATTAACCTGAAGTTATTTAAATTATGCAGCAGCAGTTGTTAGCACAATACCCCTGAAGAAACAACACAGTTTGACTTATTTTTTTAAATACAACTGAAGAATGAATTCTCACACCTACTTATTTGTGTGAACGTAATATTTACATTATCATTTTAAATCCTTAGTCATTAGGCTTCTCTTAAAGTTGAACTAAAATACATTTATGCCATTTTTGCTATAAGCCAGTTCAAGTTTTACAGTAGCAATTAAACATTCTGCTCTGGTGATTCTTCAGCAGTACAGAAAACCTTTGTGCCATAAGTAGTAAATCAATGCAAGGAAGTGCACTTACTATGATCTTTGTATCGTACATACAGAGTTCAACATTGGTGTTAAACTATGCATATCTAGCTAAAGTTACTGAAAATATTTTCTATCTTTTTGTTGATACGGAATGTGTGATCTGCCTGCCATTTGAAAGGTGGCTACATTAACAGATTAAAATCACTTCTTGTGTCTGTGCGCATAGACTGTTACCACTGTTTTATACAGCATGATTATTACTTTGTATGTCATACTTTTTTTTTTAAGCTATGTGAAAATCTCTTGTAAAATGACTGAGTTAAGATGTTGGCTTTCAAACTTTCTTCAGTTTGAAGGAAATTTTCCATAGGTTGAGACCTTCTGTAATAAACGAAGCCTACTAAGACCACTTACTCTTCTTAGAGTGCAACTCCACCAGAAGCTTAATCTGATCTGTGGGCTCCCATTAAAAATAGCAGTCCCATTCTTTGATTCCCAACCTTCCCATTCCCTAAAATATTTCATGGTTTAATCAGTTAATCCCAGGAAATCATGCCCCTTTCTATTTTTAAGAAGCTGCATTGTGAAAGACCAGAATCCTTGTTATTTTGTATCACAAATATTACAGAAAAAGATTTAAAAAAAAAACACCATAGATTTAAGTATGGGATTCAAAATAAATTCTGTAAATAATTGCAGGTTTCAAGCCATGATATTAAGTTTAGTATTTGAGCAAATACAATGTAAAAAAATTTTACTTTAATGGTGTAGAAAACACAGAGTTCCCTTAAGAAACAAACGATGACATCCAGGAGCATGACAGATACTTCTGAAATGCAAACCAATCTGTGAAGGAAATAGAACAGCCTAAATCATTGTATTTGATCAATCTGAGGTAAGTATGAGTGAGACTTACTTCCACTGATTTTGGTTTCACAATTGTTTCAAGCTAACTTAAGTACAGGCCAGCTGAAAATTCACCTTTTTATTCTTCTGGCAGTGACAGTTGTTAATAAAACGGAGAGGACAGAAACGTGGCAGGGAAAGTGGGAAATGAAAAGTGCAGCTTAAAGCAACTGTAACGCCAGAGAGGCAAATTTGACCATTTAAGTACCAAGGGTATCTGCACTACAGATAGGAGCTAGTAACCTACCTGTAGTGATACAGAGCTCAGTGCAGGCACAGAGGGTAAGTAATCCTTTGCTGAACTCTCTCTTGAGTCATGGCTGTCCTTACCCATGCTACCTCATCTTGAAATGACCTCAGCCACTGCTTTAGTGTTCAACAGTTATTGTCATGAATGCAATGTAGACATAGATCTTAAAGTACGTTAGAGGATATTTAATATTGAGGACATTGTACGTAACACTTCACAGGAAATGGAATATAAAAAAACACAGCTTTTTTCCTGGTTAACTCTTTCCTGCCCTTGAATCAAAAATTTCTAGCATACTACAAAAATCTTTCTTCAACAAATGAACAGAACAAGAATTTTAACTCTATTAGTTCAAATGGCCAAAAATTCTAGCTGTTTTCCTAGTCTAACCTATGACGAAATTTATTTCCATGTTATTTGATGAATAAAACCATACTTAATTCCTCAGAAATCCAGATTGTCTCAGTCATGAGTGGATCTTGAATTCTTTCTAGCTAGAACTTTCTAGCATTTCACATGATCCTGAGGGATGCTACACTGGGAAACAAGGTAGCTTAATGGCCAAGTCTTCAAAGTAAGAAAACATGATTGGGTTTGTTTTTGTGTTTTTTTTTTTTTTTAAAGTAAAATAAAACTGATTTACTCCTTCACTTCACTGTCCAAAATTTCTATTTTGCCCTTTTCTCCCTTTTGTTTAGGAAACTTAATGTTGTTTATTGTCACTTCATCAGTTATAGAGTCATCTTCAGATTCCGAGTCATCTTCTGAAGTTAGTATGTCTTCATCTGTATCAGAATCACTCAGTTCAACTACAGCCACATTCTGGAAAAAAAGACCTTAGTTAACACATTATACATTTCTACACCACTTTTATCATTTGATTAAAACATAAAGCAAACACATGAAACAACCTACTACCATAAGAAAACCACAACCACAATTAGAAAGGCTTTTGGGTTCTCCTAGGATTATGACAAATGCCATGAAAAGAAAAACTATGCAGCAAAGCAAAATACAGGAATTTGAGATGCAATAAATTTCTTCAGCGATTTGCAAATAGCATTACGATTTTAATCACTAGGTCTCCTGGCTTGTTTATTATAAAGCTAAGACACTTCTTAGACACTGTCACATGAAAAATCTTTTAAAAATCCTGTCCAAGTTACCCATTCTGCTTCAGCATATGAAAACAAAAAACGTTCATGATCCACTTTGTTTTCTCACTATTTATTTGGAATTCTTCAGCATATACCAGCACCAGACAACCTATTGCATGTAGGCTGGAGACAATCTACAAGAACTCTGATTCCAACCAGTGGCCAATAAATTGTTCTGACAGCTCACACCAAACCCCAGGATGCCTTATTTCTGCCCTTTTTCTTGTGGGTCTGCAGGCCAGAAGGCACTTGTCTGGGACATGCACATATCACATCATCTTCGTATTCCAATTTCCTTATATGAGCATGTGGCTGCAGCACTTCAGTTAAAAACAGAAAGAAAATATTGATGTGAATGTAAATAAATAAATACCAACCATGAAGGATCACAACAACACTAACCACTTTTCTAAACCCAAGACCTAGAGCCAGTCTTAAAAATACCAATAAAGCACAGCTGAAAGCCTGTTATTACTCTTAAACTAAAAAGCCTTCTGTTATGCCTTACTACGCCTTACACTATCCAGTTTCTAAACCAAGTTACCCAGGAGACATTTAAAATACAACTTGTGACTTACTTTTGACTCAGAGTTCCTGATTCAAAAGTATGTCTTACTCTGGCCTTAAACTACTTCATCCCCAGTCATTAAATTCTGCAAGTATGAAACCCCAGTAGTAATTTTTAACCAAATATGCATTTTTATTACATCTATGTCTTGAATTTGCAGATCGCGGGCTAAAGTGGTAAAGACTTAGCCTTACCTATGAAATTAGCTCATTCTAAGATCAAAGAATTATTTTAATCACATCTAAATTTACTTTATAAAGTAAAAAATATATAGTGGACATTTACCATTTCTATAACTTTTTCTGTTGCACTGTTTAGATTTTCAATATCAAACTGATGAGCTGGTGCTGTTACCATTTTTCTTCTTAGCTCATCATTTGCATGGGCCATCTGTGGTAAAAAGCTCTGTACTCGGTCCAAAACTGAAAGAGAAATACAAACAGATGCACATTAGTTTACACATTTACACCTCAGAAATCTGAGCATTTAAACAGATTCCATTTCAGCTGTAATTTCCAACTGTCTACCATACTTAAGATCTTTTAATAGGAGGGTTTATTACAATATTCAATTTCCCAAGGCATAAAGAGCAAAAAAATATTGAATCTATTGGTCAGCATGTGGTGCAGGAAGAAATCACATCAACAATTGCATTCGGATTCTTAAAACAAAATGTGACTACTTTACAGAAAACTTGCTTGCAAATTCCACAGTTTTAAACACATATTGAGAAATTCCACATCAGCATTCTCTCTAATGGAAATATAATTATGTCCTCCTTTCTTCCCTATTAAAGTATAGACTGAAGGCCTCAAAGAAGATGGAAAAATTAGCTGTACCACAGATGCCATGCTACACTAAAGAAAGTTCAACATCATTATCAAAAGGGGCTCTGAAATTAAGATGGTATGAGACAGACAGATGGTCTAGGTTGAAGTATAAAGCACTTATCCTCTACAGAAATATCCCTCTAAGCTCAGTGGGACTTCCCAACAATTTTAAGGTAATTGGTGTCATTAGGAGAATCACATCCATTTCACTTCCATGCAGGAAGGGAGCACGTTCACCTGCCTCCAGTGTTTCTTCAAATAATCTTTGCTCCACACGTGCAGACAAGCCAATCACCAGTTTCAATTCTCTGTGAAGAGGTATTATTCCGAGTGAGCTCCACAGAAGTCTAACAGGTGTAATCTACCTTTGAAACACTGTCTGAATCTACCTTCATAGAGAGTTTTATCTGAGACAGAACTCAGTATTACAAATTGGTTTTTCTATTACTTTTAAAATCTCCACTCAATCACAAAATAAAAATACAATAATTTGACAGAAGTCCATTTTAAATTAAATGCTTCTATACAACAAATATTTTATACCAAGAAATTATTTCTGAAAAGAGATAAGAAGCCCAGATCGGCAAAAAAGCAACAACTCTTTACTGGAAAAGAACAATCTGAGACCAAAGAACTCTGGTAAATTTTCATGAAGAGAAAAACTCCTGAAGATATACTACTTTCTGAAGATATACTACTTTCAAAGGATAACAATTTTTACACTACATCCTCTTATGCACGGAGTTATGCTGAAGATAATGTTAGCAATCTATATGAAGCTTTGACCAAGAAAGAAGGAGCATAGCTTGATTAAGGGAAAAAAAGTTTTCTTAATGCAAATTAATTTGTTATGCATGAATGGTTATATGATCTGGCTTAATAATTTTGCCAGCACGTTCATTAAAAATAAAGTTCTGAAAGTGATCTGCGTAACTTGCATCAATTTGTAAGCATCTGACTAAGCGAAGACCAAAGGTACAATCTGGCAAATTCACTATATGCAGACAGCGTGAGTATTTCTGCAAGGACAACCAAGTCCCTAAAACTTAACA